TTCCCATGAGCTAAAAACACCTCAAAATTATTACTAAAAGAGTTCACGACTTAAAATATCTGAAAGATAAAAAACTGTAAGAAACAGGTGGGAGGTTTTGAAAAACATACACTGGAATCATGCAAAGGCAGCTTCTCCTCTATTCCACTCCATTCCAGCTGGGCACACTGAGAGCACATTTCTCTGATAGGAAACCCTTCATCAGCACAGAGAAAGGGCACTCTGGATAATACTTCCTTTCCATTTTTGATGCACAAATGCACCATTTATCTAAATAGAATACTGTACAGCGCCTTGGATGAACAAAAGGCTATAATTTGGCCAAGGCCTCTGCCAACAGCCTGGAAGTAAAGGCAGCAAATAATCGAGACTCAATTATTACTTTAGTGATCCTCACGGATGTCAGACTCATTAGCACATGGTATATCTTTATAACATGTATGTAAGAGTTATGCACATGGGCATCAGGTCACTTCCCATGCTACACCAAATCAGAAGGATTTGCACTGTCAGAAAAGTCACACTACCCAGAATGAGCAGTTTCTTAGATTCAGTATCAGAGGCATCAAAAGACACATATACGGCTTCTAAAACAAAGAAACAAAACCCCCAAATAATCACTTTTGTAAGCCTTCAGTTAAATAGCATACTATTAGGCTCTACACGTAGAACAGATCAACCACGTAAGTTTTACTACCTGAAGTCATTCCACATCAAGCAGATAGTTAAGTTTATACTAACAGAAAGGGGAACCAATCTGGGGAATTCAAGCAAAACAGAATATGCTAAAGGGCAAGCAAAAACTAAGGATGGGGATATTCCATTAATGAGACTGAAAAGAGTATGTAGGAAATCCATTGATTTGAGTCCTGTGATGAAGAAGCATTCCATTTTTAAAATCTGAAGCTCTGCCTAAATCAATGATTTTCAAAGGTGTTTGCTTCCAAAAAAAAAAAAAAAAAAGGCATATAAGAATCACCTGGGAGGCACGGCATGTGTTTTCTTTATATCACAGCAATATCCCCACCTCAATCCTCACTCTTCTTTGGTTTTAAGAATCACAGCTGTTATGAGTCACTATTATTGATGGAAGAAGCGTGCAGCCTTCAGGTATGTGTGGCAAAGAATGAATAATGAGTATATAAGTTGATAACTATTTCCTGAATGACAATTCTGGCAAAAGTCACAACTCACTAAATCTCAAAATTTCAAAAGTGCTATAATGAAAGAGGGTGAACAAATCTAACGGGAGGACCACCAGGATATGAAAAGAGAAGAATAACTGTCCTCTAGTGAATATCAAGGTTTAAGACAGAGATATAGAAAATGGGTAGACAACTCAAAATACAAAACAATTTTCAGTCTCCAATTATGGAAAGTGAGCAAGGGTACAAAGAGCCCTGGGACTGAGCATCTAAAGCTAAATTGGTCAAATTCAACTCCTGGCCAATTTCTGATAGGCTGGACCACCTAACAGCAAATCACAACGGAATAACGTTCTGGGGGAAAGAATAAAAAGTCAGAGAGGTCTGTTTTTGTAGGAGGTACTAAAGAGGCTCACAAGAATACAATTCTGTGGAAATCACTATCTCAGCTTAGAGATCTATTTTTAACATCTCTACCTAACTCCATTTGGAACTTCATTTGGCTGAATCTTCTCAACTTTAGCTGCAAATTAAAATAACCTGGGTATCTTTTTAGAAATACCAATGTCTAGGTCCCATCTCCCAGAAATTCTGTTTAATTGCTCAAGGGTTGGGCCCAAACACTTACAGTATTTTTTTTAAATATGGTACTAATGTGGGACTAATTATGCAGCTAGAGTGGAGAACCACAAAGCTTAGAATACAAGGTTAGTAGCTACCATGCTTCATCAGCAGCAAGCCACTGACCTCTATGGGTAATGTTCTGTTAGAAACCAGTGATAAATGCAGCAGAAAACAGTCTAGAGGCCTTGTTGATAGCCTTCCTGAAATAAACACTGACGTAGCTGAGTGATGCTTGCCAGACAACCACATAATTCTAATCCAGGTCATATTTTAAATGAGGGTCTGGATCAAATTCTACCACTCCTAGCAACACTACTCTTCCTAGACAGTAGAAGCCTGATCTTTAACATAAATAATTTCAAGAGTTTCTTTAAAATAATTTCAAGGGGTCGGCCCCGTGGTGTAGCGGTTAAGTGCACGGGCTCCGCTGCTGGCAGCCCGGGTTCGGATCCCGGGCGTGCACCGACACACTGCTTGTCAGGCCATGCTGTGGCGGCGTCCCACATAAAGTGGAGGAAGACTGGCACGGATGTTAGCTCAGGGCTGATCTTCCTCACAAAAAAAATAAATAAATAAAAATAAAATAAAATAAAATAATTTCAAGAGTTTCTTGCCTTCCCTCAATTTGGGGCAGAGGCAGAGCCCTCTTTCCCAGAATGTGTTTACTACTGAAGTCAAGGAAAAAAGGCATCTGGGTTCATCAACAGCTATAGTTTACACACCAAACTGAAATGGCTCACAGCAGTCACATATATTCCATGTCGTTACTGTGCAAGATGTGGTCCTAGGAGCTTGTTAGAAACGCACACTCCCAGGTCTCACCCCAGATAAACTAAATCAGAATCTGTCTTGTATAAGATCTCCAGGAAATTTACATGCACATTATAGTTTGAGAAGCACTGCTGTAAGGCAAGGATTCATTCAAGAAACAGTACCATCTATATAGATTAAGTGAAAACCTTGAGGACTATTTTTCTCTCTAAATTAGATAATTTATGCAAGAACTATAAAAGCATTTTTTAAAAATGGCATAGTCTACTGCTGCCTTAGAAACTCATCTTCTACACAGCCATATTTAAGCCTTCCTTGTGATGTTCTCTTAAAAGGAATCTTAGTTCTATGAGTGAATATATATTTAACCACATACAGATCCAAAGCAAAAAGAAGGGCTTTTACTCCTTCTCATTTTGACTTCTGGGATATATTTATATCACAGAATAAGTTGAAGAAAACTGCATGTAAACACTTTCTGGGGCTATAACACCAAGTAACCCATCTTAAATCCCAAAGTCAGAAAAAGTTAAACTTTAGAGTCATATAGGAACAATACTGGGCCTAGATAGCAAAGGGTGTATATTATTTAGAAATCCAGTTGGAAAAACAACTTACTCCCCACCCAAAAAGAACATCCTTTACAAAAAAAGGAAAAGAAAAAGGCTCATGTGTGACTGGCTAGTACAATCAAAGAAAGTTCTACAGTTTTTCTACCTAAGTAATACTTGGGGAATTCTAACAGATGACTGGATAGCTATGTAAAATATAAGTAGAAAACGCATTGGTGTGAAGGGCCAGTAAGAGCTAATACAAAGCCATATGGAAATCTCTCTCTTTCCTTCCATGCTAAAGTGGGTCAAGAAACAAGAGCATAGAATCCCGGGCCAGGCAACCTCAAAATATACGGCCTCTTTCTCCCCTCCATCCTTCAAACTTAATTTGTCATTCTTAGGTTCAATGAGTCCACCATGTCATAAGCCTCCAGGGAAATTAATAAGTAGGGTTGTTAAGACATAAACTTGAGGATATAACATTTAACTTGTGGTTGATGTGTCAACAGAATAGGAAGAGTTATTTCAATGTTTTTATAAGGGATTTCTAGGAGTCTCCATGAATATTTCAGTATTCACTTGTCAGTCTCCTGAGCCTATAAGGAGGCTATACGGCAATGCAGAATTATATAAGGAAACTATTCTTATATAATCAGTCAACTCCATTCATTAAAGATATAAATATGAAAAGCGAATGTTTATATTCCCAAGAAAGACACTAGGAGTGCTCATTTGTGCCACTATAATCTGGAGTCCAGAGCTTGGTCAGCATACAGACTCTGGAAGCAGTGACTTTCCATTAGTAAAATGCACAACCCACAGAGATATATGACTGTAACCCTATTTCCTTAGACCCTCTGCCAGCCAAAAAGTAAATGTACCTGTACTGGCTGGCATAAATCCCAGACATGATACTGCTCATACAGTAGAAGAGAAAATGCCAGTGTATATAGCTGAGAGTAACGTTTTTTCTTTATGGAATCTCTGACAACATACATTTTCATATCTATGGCATTTACCTTCCAATTTCTGATGTTGGGAAACAAATCAGCTTGTTGGATATCTTTATAGTCACCAGGTTGACAAATACCTTATTTGCAAGTGTCTAACTAAAAGAGCCCCTCTAACTCCACCACAGTTAAGTACCTAGTTTGCAGGGAGCCATGTGATGAGACCTATGATTTTTCTGGCCTTCTCTACACAGATGAAAAGTCATCTTTAATATTTTTCATTTATCTTATACAGCAACAAAAACTAATTTTAGTTCCCACTGGTGGCACATATTCACAGATACTCTGGACTTTGGAGCCTTTTAGTATTAGAATCCTGGAAGCTAATTAAATTGGAAGTATGACTGGGGGAGGGGGGAGAAGGGAAAAAAAGAACCAATCAAGCAGTACTTCCCAACTGTAATAAAGGTACCTTTTTTACACAAATGGCTGCCTCAAAAACCTTTCAGAACTAGACAGGACATAAGCCAATAAAATACAAAAAAGACAATAGTTTGAAAGCCTCAAAACGGGATGATCTCTAGGAGGTCATTTAAATGCTGTTCAGGTCAAAAGGGGAATTACAGGGGCTATCCAGAGTTAAGAAGCAGGAGCAATAATAAGCTCTGGGAAGGATACTCAACACTAAGATTGCTGAACAATAGGTTGGTTAAACATCAAAAGTTCTATTTAGAGGCAGAACAACAGAATAATCCTATACACTTGCAGACATACCCCATACCAATGATGGACAGTATCAATTAATTCTCTAAAGACAAATAATCCTGTCCTTTATCGAAGGACACTGCTTTGCTCATCAAGGAAAGGTCTAGTTCTAAAAAGCTGAATAATTTAAAGTTCTTTAGCATATCAAAAATTAAAAATAATCAAAAGAAAGAAGGAAGAAAGATGCTTACCAAACTATCTAGTCCTCCTCCTAAGAGATCCACTGCTCCCATCTGCATGGAGGATACCTGTGGCACATTGACTGGGGGACCGAGGTCTAGGTTTAAAAGGTCCCCTAGAAGGTCACCTTGAGAGGGAATAACCTGAGGTTGTTCCAGGTTGGTGGTAGTGGTGGTGCCAACAGGGCTGTCACCCGCATCAGTGCTGCAGCCACACAAACAAAGAGGGAAAAAGAGAAAAGTCAGTTTCATCCAGGACATAATAACAGAGTTAACAAGTGAATGTCAGATATATAAAACACAGGAGGAAAAAAACCCTCTTATTTTATAATCATTTGTTGATGTATACAAAGAGATGGTAGCAATTCTTGTTTTTATCAAAATACAATTACTAAAATGAAAATAAATGTATACTATATAACCACATCAGTCAGTCAATTTTAATGAGCACTCACTCTATGAGGAAGCAGCACTGCAATGAGAACTCTAGGGAAATATTTCAAAAAAAAAAAAAGGGAGATATATTTCCTGCCCTCAAATAACTTACACTCTAATGAACAAAAAAAGCAGCATTCACAAAACAACTGAAAAGCACATTCACTGTGTAGCAGCAAAAATGAGTACTGTGTGAGTGTCTGCACGCTGACAGGATATAGATGAAAAGCAAAACAAAACCAAGTGGGGCTGATTCTAAAGGCTTCTGACAATGGTTTTATGACTAGAGTTTGAAGAACAGTACAGTTATGAGGAACTACCAACCTTCCAGAAAGGAAGAGAATACATAGAAACGAACAATTTCACTCTAGGGGTGGCAAAAAAATTATACTGGTAGGAGCAAAGACTGAGATTGTTAAGATTTTGGGAAAGAGAAGATGAGGGAGATATAACTTTGAAAACTAGTCTGAAGAGTTAATTGTTTATATGATAGGCAACGCAGAATCACTTTTACTTGCTGAACAAAGAATTAAAAATAACATTAGAGGAACATTATTTAAGCAGCTGTGTATATAATGGACTGAGTTTGGGAGAATGAACATGAAGATCAGCTAAGAGTAATCTATATTGCTACAGTTATCACACTGTAAAAATAAACAGAAGTGGTGAGTTCCAAGAGATATGAAAAGGACGAGGCAGGAGGAAATTATCTTTTCAATAAATGGTGCTGGGTCAACTAAGCAGCCACGTGGAAAAACATGAGCCTTGACTCCTACACCTCACAACATTAACAAAAATTAAAGCGAGAAATAGATAAATAAGAAGGGGAAAACCTAGGAGAGTATCTTGATGACCTTCGAGTACATAAACGTTTCTACAAAAATCACTAACCATAAAAGAAAAAATTGATGAACTGGACTTCATTAAAATTAAGAACATCTCCTCTTCAAATGACACAATTAAGAAAGAGCAAGACACGGGGCTGGCCCTGAGGCGTAGCGGTTGGGTGCGCGCGCTCTGCTGCTGGCGGCCCGGGTTTGGATCCTGGGCGTGCATTGATGCACCGCTTGTTGGGCCATCCTGTGGCGGCGTCCCACATAAAGTGGAGGA